TTCAGAATGTGCTGTTTTGGATATTAATCCCTCTGTCACTTTTCGATTTGAGGTCTTCTTGTTCGTCTTTATGTACAACGTGGTGATCTACGGCGTATTTTCGTCGAAAAATCACCTCCAGCGCCCAGACGGTAAGAGATAGAGCCAAACGGAGAAAATGTCAGTCCTAAGGGTTCCACTTCCACAAGTTACCCCTTAGGAGATCATTTCAAAGAAGTTCCGTCAAGGCACGGATCGTGGAAGTAGATGATACGTATGTAATGGTCAAGCCTTCAAGCCTTTTATTTCAGAACAGGATGTGGAGGTTTCAAAAATCTAACACCCACATTTACAGAATATTGTTGCCATTTATATCACACAAGTTTCCCTCTGCCGATTTATTCTCCTTTAATTTCGAATCGCATGAAATGATTACGTCCGGGCGGGCAAGCCGAAGCGGGCAAAGTTCCGAGCTGCGCTTTCAACCGAGCGCCGGCCGAGACGAGGCAGGCCGGTAGAAAGGAGGGGGAGGGGGGCGACGGGCGGGCAGCGAGCGGGCCGGCGAGCGGGCCAACACCAGGCCCCCTTGTCTATCTTCTACTGGTGACGTCACGCATTTTGCCTCCCTGCACGCCGCTGCATGACGGTACAAGAAATGACACATTTGACAAATCATTCTTATTAATATCAGTTATGTGAAATGTTCAAAGTTTCAGTTACAAATGTATCATCTGCTAAAAAAAAATAAGTTTTTTGACCTCCTTCTTTTTCTTTGATACCCCCTTTCAGCCCCCTTAGGGGTGGTTGCAAGGATTTGCCGTGGGCGTTTTCTAGGAGTGAACTTAAAGGTTCCCCGAAAATTTGAAGTTTCTAGCACATCTTCCAGTGGAACAGACAGACACTCAGACAGACACGAGGTCTTTTGCATCAGCCCGCTGAATAGCTTTTTGAAAGCAGAAGGGCGGTCTAAAAAACTTTGAAGCGGGCTTATGCAACCGCTCTGGTGTCTGTTTGTCGTCCGTGTAAGAGGAAGGAAATGATATAGAAGACTACAAATTTCAGGGTATCTTAGGGGTCACTATTGGATAACGAAACGCCAGGTGCAAGTCCTGGCAACCACCCCTAAGGGGGTGAAAGGGGGCAACAAAGAAGTAGGGGTTGGTCCAAAAAGAAGGAAACAAATAATTTTAGCCTACCCTTCTGCTTTTAAAAAAGCATTAAAGCGGGCTTATGCAACCGCTCTCGTCCGTCTGTCTGTCGTCCGTGTAAGAGGAAGGAGATGAGCTAGAGGTCTACAAATTTAGGGTATATTAGGGGTCACTCCTGGACAACGAAACGCCTGGTGCAAATCCTGGCAACCACCCCTAAGGGGGTGAACGGGGGTAACAAAGAAATAGGGGTTGGTTCAAAAAGTACGAAAAATGGTCGGGCCGCAGGAATGCGGACCAGATACGGTGACTAAATACCGGCCCTCCCGCACCGCCCCCACCACCATTTCTCGTTCCTCCGCCTCCACACCACCCGCCTCGCCGTGCTCGCCGTTCTTACTGTATCGCTTCTTGCCTTCGTCCTGCGCTGCACCCTCCAGCTCCTCGTCTCCCCCCCCCCCTTCCCCCTCCCCGCTCGTCTACAGCCTGCACTACGCGCTGCTCCTTCTCGACGTCTATTGTCACTGAGCCGATTCACAAAACGAAACGCGATGAATTACGCGGTGGAATTTACGCGGCGTAAATTTAAAAGAGAAAAGAAAATTGTAATCTCATATAATAATTTAAGTTGTAAATTTGCGAGAGCACATTTTTTGCTTGCCAATGCATTTTAAGTCAATACGTACTGCTAGAGATGGTCACTTTATGCGAAAAAAACCTCAAAATTATGCGCTGAAATTTGGCTTGATTATGCGATAATTATGCTTCGAAAATATGGCAATTATGCGCCCATTATTCACTAAAATAAGTACTTTTATGCGGAAAATGTGTAAAAAATGTTTAAAAATCACGCACTGTGCGAAAAAATTCGAAATTCAACATTTTTGTAGCCTAAAGTACGTTGATCCAGTTATTAAACAAAAAATTCTTTAGAAGGGGTGGGTGCTTTGACTCGGTAGAGCAAAAGCTGTACGGGCGCGTTGCATTTTCGCTTGCTGATAAGGCATTCTCTAGGCAGCTCAAAGTATTAAAAATCCGTCAAAAGCCCCAAATTCTTAAAACATTTTGTTACAACATGACCAAAAGTCTGAAATGTATATAAAACTATACTATTTTCGCAATATTTTACGTGGAAAATGCGAATTATGCGCGTATAATGCGAAAAAAACGTTATGCGGGAAAAAATGGCAAATTATGCGAAATTATGCGGGCTGGAAATGAACTTCACCGTGGTCCATTAACATTAAAAAGTTGATATTTTCCCATTTTGAACGATTCTAAAACATTATGCGAATTATGTGATCGCATAAAGTGACCATCTCTACGTACTGCATATATTTTTACGATTACCAATTGTAATTTTACAACTTACGTCAGGGAAAATTTCACAGTGAAAAATAAGGTTTACAGGAAAATTTTCCTTGACGTAAGTTGTAAAATTACAATTACGTCTTGACTCAATATAACGATGCACGCTCGGCCCGGGAGAAAAAAACAGCTGAATAAAGTCGGACTTTTACTGTGAAAAAGCGAAATTTACCTGAGCCGGGACTGACACTTACCTGATTTTAACTGATTTTTACCGACACTTAACTGAACAAGCTGATCTACCCCACCTTTAACATGATATACTTGAACACTTAACTAACAATTATCCGCAATTATCTCAAATTAAGCTGATGAGAGATCAGCATCAACATTCAGCTCGATTCAGTTATATTCAGCTATCTGTCGGGTCAAGACTAACTGACTTAAAGTAATATTTTACTGATCTCTTGCTGAAATTTATCTTCAGCTCTTTACAATGTTTACTCAGCGATGGGTCGACTTTATAAAAACTGATAAGAGTCTGATATTTGCTGAACTTTGCTGAAGTGTCAACGACAGGCATTTGTCAGCTGGCGCTCATGTTGTATGCATCTGAT